ATTGTAGTAATTCGAGTTCGATTGTACTAATTTTGACCGAGATTATTCTAATTTGACTTCAGTTGTACTAATTTGACTTCAATTGTACTAATTTGACTTCAATTGTACTAATTCGAGTTCGATTACACTAATTTGACTTCAGTTGTACTAATTTGACTTCAATTGTACTAATTCGAGTTCGATTACACTAATTTGACTTCAATTGTACTAATTTGACTTCAATTGTACTAATGTACTAATTCGAGTTCGATTACACTAATTTGACTTCAATTGTACTAATTCGAGTTCGATTACACTAATTTGACTTCAATTGTACTAATTTGACTTCAGTTGTAGTAATTCGAGTTCGATTACACTAATTTGACTTCAATTGTACTAATTTGACTTCAGTTGTACTAATTTGACTTCAATTGTACTAATTTGACTTCAATTGTACTAATTCGAGTTCGATTTCACTAATTTGACTTCAATTATACTAATTTGACTTCAGTTGTACTAATTTGACTTCAATTGTACTAATTCGAGTTTGATTTCACTATAACTGTACTAATTCGAGTTCGATTTCACTAATTTGACTTCAATTGTACTAATTTGACTTCAGTTGTACTAATTTGACTTCAATTGTACTAATTTGACTTCAATTGTACTAATTCGAGTTCGATTACACTAATTTGACTTCAATTGTACTAATTCGAGTTCGATTTCACTATAATTGTACTAATTCAAGTTCGATTACACATTATATAAATTATCCAAATACAAAATCATCCAAATACAAATCATCCAAGTGCAAAATCATCCAATTACAAAACAACCAAATACATAATCATCAAAATACAAAATCATCCAAATACAAAATATTCATCTAAAAAAATCTAGTTCCCCCAATCATCGCGGAGTCTAGTTCGACCGATGGGAGGATGCGAATACGGGCAACGGTCTGCGAAATGTAAGGGATCACCACATCTAGTGCATTGATCCCGGCCCCTTCTGCGGCGCGCCCGACGATCCATTTGCATTTTAAAGCATCTAGTTTGGGCGCGACCGGGTCCAGGCTTCGAGATGATCCTCTCCCAATGCGGAATCAAATTCCATCCCACCCGCGGCCACGTGTCAGGATTCCCAATTGGAGTAAAATTCCAATTAGAAAATTGAGCAACCCAATTCTCCGTCGAAAAGTAGGGATTATACAACGACACCGGTTGATCACCCCGGTGACGACACACTCGAATTGCATGAGAGCATGGTTTTCGATGTGTCTGCCACTTCCTACATGCACAACGCTGCTGCTGATAAAAGACCTTAAACCTATTTTCAACAATGATTTATATATGTAAATTAGAAAAAAAATAAACTCATTTGAATTGAAAAAAAATTACAATTACAAAATACATACTTGTTTTGCCCTCTTCCATTGACGCGTAGACCGGTTGTCACCATGTATTGGGATCCGTAGGCGTCCACACATTGCATCTCGTGAGTCACCGCCGTCTTTTCCAACTCCCGATAGGCAGCATAGAGGTCGGTAGGAATGGGAGTCCTGCATCCTCTGGACTTCTTTTGTTCCTGTTCAAACAAATCCAGAGTCTTGTTCAATGTGGCCTGTACCAACGCTCTGCAGGGCAGGAACCTAACACCTTTGAGGACATTGTTGTAACTCTCTGACATATTCGTTGTCAGAGTTCCCCATCGACGTCCTCCATCTTTGTATAGGGTCCACTTTTCAAGAGGAATTTTGAAAAGGTAATCGTATGCGTCCGGGTTACATTCATGGAGTTCCTGTTGACTCTGCTCAAATTTGCGGCGAGAACACAGTGAACCCAACTTCCAGCACAAACCCCGGATTTTCTTAGTCCGGTACCTTGAAAACACATTGCTCCGGAGGTGTCGAAGGCATATCCGATGAAACGCATGGGGTTCGTGCCAAGTCTCCAGTAAGTCAACGGCACTCAATATGCCGTTGTCTCTGTCGGAAAGAAGACATATTGGTCTGTCGGGGACAACATGATAGCCCAGATGTGTTAGGAAAAAGGACCAGCTAGCCGTGCTTTCTTCGTCCACAATCGCATACGCGACTGACAATAGACGCTTATTCGCGGTCTGTGCTATGGCAACAAGCAGCTTCCCCTTGTACGAACCTGCCCAGTTGGACATATGTTTTTTTTTTTTTAGACACTATTGTAAATTAGAAAATAAAATATTAATTTGCAATTAACAAGTAGTTTCCCCTTGTACGAACCTCGCAGGTGCGTGCCGTCGATGCTAATAATCGGCGGGCAACGAACGAAGGTTTGAATGGCGGGGCCGAATGCCCAGAAGACAAATCTGAATTCTCTGTCTCGAGATTGCTTCGCCATTTCTCCACCCTGCCATTCCCACTCAACGACTGTACCGGGATTCGCCCTTTGAAGGGCGGCGAAAAACCTGCAAATTATAAAAGGTAACCATAAATAAATAAATAAATAAATATAGTTACAGTACAAACAACGCGTAAATACGTTTATAATTAATTTTTGCTTACTGAGGGAGTTGTGCGAAGTTCGATTCCCACGTGCCATGCAGACAATCAATGGCTTTTTTTTCTCCCGTGCCACGCCTTCTTGTAGCTGACATCGACACCCCTGGCACTTTTTACGTCGGCCTGGACCATTTCCACACTGTAGGTCACTTGCTTCTGAATCTTAGCCAACAGAAGATTTGAGATCATGGTGGCGGTCACATTCTTGTGGTCATTTCTCTCGAACATCTGCATGCAAGTGTGGCTACCGGTCCATTCGGTTACCTCCCACATGCCGTGATCCCGTTTGTTAAGACTCACCCGGGCCTTCCATATACATGGTACAACTTCATCTGATCTGCACACAGCTTTAAACGACTTCTTGTTGGAATCTTTTATCCGGACCGCCCTAAGCTTCTCAACATTCCAGGCATTAATACCAATCCGGGCTTCTTCATTGGTATGAAAAACTGTACCCAATCGGATAGTCTCGACACGCCCATTCCAGGTTGGCAAGGCATACTCGTCCCTGTCTACACACGACGAGTCCCACTCACCCATCTCGCGATAATCGTAGAGGCCTTCATTTGGAAAGGGGTGTTCTTCAATGAATTCTTGTTCGCTCTCCTCATTAAATGATCTGTCCGATTCGGTTTCCGAGATCTCATCCGTAAAATCGTCTTCACCGGGAATGAAATCTTCATCTCCAACAATTTCTTCCTCAATGTCCGGTCCTCTCATGGTAAAGCTCGTTCCTTCGCCAAAATTACTCGTCCCTTCATCAAAAGTACCGGCATGCGTAGTCCACGTATCCTCACCACCAAACATTCCCTCGTAACCATATGATGGCGTAGGATCCTCAACCTGTGTAACCTGTGTGTTTGCTTCCAACACTACATGCAAAAACACATAGGACCCCGGAGAAGAGTAGTAAATCCACGAAAGAGAATTATCATTATGCAGTCTTCCGGTAATAAACGAACCATCCTGTTGTCTCGCCATCAAAGTAATATCCGAAATTGTCCAACTATCACGAAACCCACCATTTTCATAAATCATATCTACCAATTGTCCATATGATATTATTCCATTAATAACAAATGAACAATCCGGACGAGACATATAATTCGAAAAATTCCATAACTCACTTTGGGGAATTTTCCAGTACACATTAACAAAGTACGGACCGTTAGACGACATTTATAACCTGTTGCACAAAAAAAATTTGTATTTTACAAATTACAACAACATAAAATGGCTAATCAAACACCACGAGAAAATTTCAATTATTATTTTACCAATTTACATTTAAAATTTCATATATTTTACCAATCTACATTTAAAATGGCTAATCTAACACCCGAGAAAATTTCAATTATTATCTTACCAATCTACATTTAAAACTCATTTCCAACAACAACATATAATTAATTATATTTTTACTCGAACAAAAAAAAAATTGTCAATTAATTTATAAAAAACACCACAAAAACCCTAATCACCAATCTACATTTAAAATTGTCAATTAATTTAGTACAATTGCCACAATAAAAACCCTAATCACCATAATCCAACAATAACATCAAATTCATAAACAATTTGGATAAATATTCAACATATATTAAACCAACATTCAAGATTTTCTAAACAATACTTAATTAACCAAATATATCTCTTAAACATTCATAAACAACCAAAAATTAATATTACATTATATTTAAATAACAACTAACCTCTTCTTCGACGATTGATTGAAAATTTATTTTTTTTCCTGGGAACAGCTTCAATTCGCCAAAAAATCGAGCAAAAAACGATTGGAAAAAACGAGAGGAGAAATGAAATGGAATTTGTTTTTTTTTTTTAATTGCAGCTTCAATTCGCAATAAAATCGAGCAAAAAACGAGTGGAGAAAATGAAATGGGAGAGGAGAAATGGGAGAGGAAAGTGGGTTCGAATGATATTTATTAACAGAAAAACGGATTTTGAAAATCCGTTTTACTCGTTTTTAAAATTAAAAACGGATTTTGAAAATCCGGTTTACTCGTTTTTAAATGAAAAACGGATTTTGAAAATCCGTTTGAGAAAGTGGATGTAGTATTATTATTAAATTCGACCGTTATCATATAAAAAAAAATCAAAATTAAAAACGAATTTTGTGAGAATCCGTTTTCAATTAAAAATTTAATTAGAAAAACAGATTCTGAAAATCCGACTGTTTTATACATTTTCACAACTTTTTTTTTTTCCACATATTTTTGTTTTTTTTTAAATAAATAATGCACCCTAGATTATGCACTTCTGTTAATAAATTACAGGTTGGAATAAAAGTGAACTATGTAACATATTCAGGAGGAAAAGAAGGAATTTGCATCCTGCGTCTGCCGTCTCCCCAAAAGAAAGGATTTTTAGTCCAACGGTTGACAATCTCTCGTTGTTCGAAATTTCTTCGCTTTCCCCTTGCCTTCTCCAAGAGGGGAGGAGAAGGGCTACACGTTGAAGATCAAAAAAAGCATAGAGAGAGAGAGAGAGAGAGAGAGAGAGAGAGAGAGAGTAAATGGAACGATGGCAGTTAATTTCTCTGTGCGTGCTTGCATTATGGATTGCGATTTCGTCAATTTTTAACATTACCCAAAAGATCAGATCTTTTGCACAGCCATGGGTGACCAACCGTGTGCTGTCCGACACACCCAGTATCATCAAGATCCAGGTTTTATAATGTTTATGTGTAGTAATTTATGTAAAGATTGATTTTTTTTCTTTGTTTTGTTGGTTGGCTAGCTGTTGGCCGTTGGCTTGAAATTATCATGGTTTTTTGCTGGGTTTTGCAGAAATACCAGCACAGGCATCTAGATTCCTTGTTTTCTGGGTTGTCATGTGTTGTTTCTGTGCCTTTCTACACTGCCTTTCTTCCATTGCTTTTCTGGGTATGGTATTTCACACTCTCTCGTAGGCACATTTTTTAAAGCTTTTGCCTTTTTCGTTTTATCATTTTTCCCTTTTCCTCTTCACACAAGTTCTTAATGATTTGTGACTTTATGTTAGACAGGGCATTGCAAATTGGCTAGGCAAATGACTCTCTTGATGGCCTTTTGTGATTATATTGGGAACTCTGTAAAGGTATCTGCCGAAACTCAGTGCCTCAAATGTTTACAATGCTTTGTTATCTTTTGTCTAACTTTATGATTCCAACTTACAATTGTGTTCATAGGATGCGGTGTCAGCACCCAGGCCAAAGTGCCCACCTGTTAGAAGAATAACGGCCACCAAAGATGAGGAAGATAATGCGATGGAATATGGATTGCCATCCTCACACACTCTTAATACTGTTTGCTTGTCAGGGTATTCTTAAGATACACTTCCACTTTTGCTTCTCCCTTTTTTGCATCCTTAAGTATGTCGAAACTTATGGTGTGTTTATCCAGATACCTGTTACACTATGTGCTGGCCTACACTGAAAGTGATGTTGTCTCGATAAAATTGTTGGGCTTTGTTGTAGCTTGTTTGTTTGTTGGTCTAATTGGATTGGGTAAGCCTAAGTTCGCAATATAATCATTTGATTTCCTTAATGCTACCACTATTAACCGAAATTTATATTTTTTAGGACGGGTTTATCTCGGAATGCACAGCCCAATTGATATTATTGGTGGTCTGGGTCTAGGACTGGGGATTCTTGCAACCTGGCTCTCCATATCTGAATATATAGATAAGTTTGTTGTTTCAGGTCAAAATGGTAAGAGTGCTAACTCACTGCATGTTTGTTTAGTGATCAACTTCAGTTTCAACTTCAAGTTGAGTCAAAAAAATTGTTAGCTTGGAGAAGATGAAATTGTGTAAATGTAATAGTGTGAAAGGATGTGTATCTGTGGATAATTGCTTAAGTATGCTCCAAAACCATTTAGATAAATGAATTAGTTGTGGGATTCTGTAAAAACGATGACTTTGAATTTTACATGTTATTGAATATGTTTCGAGTGTTGGTTCAGATATCTAACCTCGCAGATGTCTCTTGTCTGCAGTTATATCATTCTGGGCCACCCTTAGCTTCTTGTTACTCTTTGCTTATCCAACGCCTGAATTTCCGACTCCAAGTTTTGAATTTCACACAGCCTTCAATGGTGTTGCCTTGGGAATTGTAAGTGCAGAATTTCATATCTCTGTATTCCCCCTTATTGATTCTTGCAAGTTTCACTCATTGGACGTATTAAATCTAGGTGACTGGTATCCACCAGACGTTTCATCAATTTCACCATGAGAACGTTGCTCGCGTATTGTCCCCTCAGCTTACTTTTCCTGCATTCGTCGGAAGATTACTATTGGGAATCCCGACAATTCTTTTTGTTAAGTTTTGTAGTAAGGCCCTTGCGAAATGGATTCTCCCGATTCTTGCATATACTTTTGGAATTCCAATAAGATCAACAACTTATGTACCGAACTTAATGGTGGCTGATAAGAGATCAGACAAAATAAAGCAATCAGGCTATCTCCAAAAAATATTCTTTTTCTCCAAGCAGACCTCATTTGATGTTGATACTGGCATAAGGCTCCTTCAGTACACTGGTCTGGCCTGGTCCGTTGTTGACCTTGTTCCTTCTATGTTCACTCGCCTGGGCTTGTGATGTTTGGAATATTATGCCTGTATAATAGATGGATTATCGCTTCACTTCCCTTCTTTTAACTTCTATGGTTTGGAGGGTGAACTAGGCTGGCTTTATGACTGAGAATGTAGATTGTACTTATTTGTTTTTATATTGTATAATGACCTTATTCAAATTTTGTTGCTATCAGTAGTTCAATATTAATGGAAGTTCAGTTATTTTTGCCTTTTCTAAATTTTGCAATTGCCTGAGAATGTTTTGCATGAGGCCAGGGTATGTTTCCATTTGTCTCTCCATTGCACGTCTTTGCTTTTAGCATGTGCATTAGTTTTTACGTGCGACTGGACATGTTACTTTATTTATTTGGGGCAAATGCTTTTAGCAATTGCTTTTAGCTGTTTGGGGCAACTGGGGACATTTACTTTATTTATTCACAGGAAATTTGAGGCTTGGAAGCTCAAACCAAATCTGCATAAGTTTGCGTAAACTTTCATTCCGAGTCTGCTCCAATATTTGTTACAATGGCATAAGCCTAATTATTGTTGTTACAGATGCTTTGTATTGGTTTCTTCTATAGTTGACTGCATTTACGAAAAGCGATTCTTTTTTTCTTCCTTCTTTCTTTTCACTGAAGCTGCTATCTAACTGCTCAGCCCCCGTCCCTTCATCACATGCCTTCTCAAACCTGGAATATGGACATTGGTGATGTAATCTTTCCAATCGATGTTCTCAACCTCAAATCCGAATTGTTGTCTCTCTTCGTTAGACATGAATCCCATTAATCTTTCTGTGTTGCTGTTGTCAAATCTGCCATTTTTCACCATTACATGTGTTGCAAAGTGTTAGATCATATGATATAAATAAGTGGTGCTTGCTTGCAAAAATCACCTTTTAATTTAGTCTAATTGCAAAAATTGATGGTATTTTTCTGAGGTACACCCACTTCTTTTAGATTGTGATTCAGGGAAAATAACTGGGTTTGCTTTGTAATTAGGCTAAATTACAGCTAATTTTCAGAATTACAAAAAATATTATCTAACTAATACTCCCTTTTAGTTTAAGTAGGTGCTGTTTTGTAAGACAGAAACTTAGTCTTGGATTTTTATTTTATTTTTTTACCAAAGACAACTGGGTTGTTTTATGATTCCCCTAAACTTGAGAGGTGGTTTTTGTAATTAAATT